TTACGTGTCAGGTCTAGGCCTAGGCCCCAGAGCCTCCGGATTGCCACAACGCCTCCCTGGAGACCCGGGGCTGCTCCAATTCATTATGCTCACATATGTTCCTTAATACTATGACGTACTCTTTTCTCGGAGATGCGCTGGAAGAGGAGACAAGGCGCCGGGAAATAAAACAGAGACCCGGAGACAAGAGGAAACGAAGAGCCAACATCAAGAGAACACTCCCGCTCCAAGCCAAACTGCTCCGCTTAGTTCAGTCCCATTAAAAGTCCCTGCCCTCCGCCCTCCTTTGGTTTGACATCTGCTTTACAAAGCGCTCAGCACCAGCGGCCAAGCGCTACTCACGTTTTGGAACACAAGAAAGGATTGCGTCTTCCTGAAGCTCAAGAGTTTCAGATGAGCTCAGCGTGGGGGGCGGGTTGCCAAGATCTTTGCAAAATCTCCCCATGGGAGCTGGTGAGCGCGGAGTGCTGTGGAGAATCTAGCCCCAATCATGGGTGCCGATCCCCTGGAAATCTGGCCCTGAGTTCTTGGTAAAATCTACCTTTTCATCTTAACAATCTCACCATCTGCATTACAGCAGAGATCAGCCAACCCCGGTCCTGCAATCAGATCTGGGTGCAGGAGTCCGTCTGCACGGATGCCATTGTAGCTGCAGGCCCACCGCCAGGATCACGCACTGCTGCTGAAAGCACCTGTAACTAGATGTACCAAGCACGCAGTAGCGAATCAGCTTCCATCCACAGCGGGACAAGGGCCGTTCAGGAAGAACGTGATGCCAACTGGTGCAAATCAACATCCGGGGCAGAAACGTCACTCACAGCTGAGTGGGCAATGGGGATTTTTATCCCCCCATGAAACAAACATGAAAAAATTTCTACCAAACGTTCCAGGTTTTCCCTCACAAACTGGATGTCAGCAGGATTTCTCTTGGTCTTAAAGTCAAGCGGCTCTGGTTTAAGTGTTTTAAGGGTTCATCCACAGTGCAAAACAAGAGCCTGGGTCAACCCACTCCCCCCCTTTCTGGGTTTCAGAGCCCCAACTCCAGCCTCAGCGGGAACACCTACATTGCTATTTTTAGCCCTGTGAACCCCAGTCAATTGACCCGGACTCTGACACTTGCTGCCACTGGGTTTTTTCTGTAGTGTAGACGTACCCTCATTCAGTCGTGTGTTATAGACACGTGATACATGCAAGATCCCTTCTCAAGAGGGCGCGTGACTGAATATTCTGGTCCACACCTAGTTTTTGTCCTTCCTTATGCTGGGATAGTTTATTGCCCCTTCCTGTAACCACCTTTATACCGGTATAACTAGGGGAGGCTTGTACCGCTTTAACTTAGGGTGACCAGACCGCAAATGCGAAAAATCGGGACAGAGGGTGGAGGGTAATAGGAGCCTATATAAGAAAAAGACCCAAAAATCGGGACTGTCCCTATAAAATCGGGACATCTGGTCACCCTACTTTAACTACACGGGCAGAGTACACTTTTGTAGAGAGACAAGCCAGCTTGTTAGCAGGGGCGGGGGCTCCTGCAATGGAAAGCTACCAGAGCATCGCCGGGGTGCATAGGGAAAAATCTGGTGTTGGGCATGAGCCCATATGGTTCTTTCGTCTCGACTTTCTTTGATTCCCACGGATAGAGGTGTGAAAAGGAAGCTTCTAAATGTGATATTTAGGCTAGCAGCGCATTTACTCCAATCAAAGGAATAAATATGGCAGGGAAATGCTATTTGCTTCTCATCTAATAACGTCTTGGGCACCATCTCTTATGTGTCAGGACGGCACCCAGCACAAAGGGTGGCACTCCAGAATACACAGAATAATCCAGGTGCACGTAACCATCAATTAGGAGGGATTTTATACTACAGCAAAGTCATCACACACACACACACACACACACACACACCCTGCCCTGTCACGGGCGTGGATTGCAATCTGAACATTGCAGGGCACTGAAATAGCTTTGGCTTTCCATTCTCTTCCACTATAAACAGAATTTGTTCCGTTCCAGTCCGCAATTAGCAAGTTCCACTGCACATTATTTTGGGGACCACTCAAAGCTTCTGGGGCTGCTACTGACCTTAGACTCCAGGAGATTCAGGATGGATATGGACTCCGTGCTGGTTCTAAACTGACTTGGAAAGAGGATTTGAGGGCTCGGGGGCAGGATTTAGGGTTAATGGGTGGGCAGGGGTTAATGCTGGCATTGCCACTCAAATGTACACTTAGAGGAGGCTTATAATATATCCCCATATCCTTGTGAAATAATACTTTGCTCTTAAAGATTGCCTTACATCGGAGGAGGTCAAAACCTTTCACAGTCAGCCGGGATCTGTACTCCCCACTCAGGCAAACTTCCCATGGGAGCCCGTGAGACCCTAATCAGTAGTACTTCATAACTTCTCTATAAAAACAAGGAATATTCTCCCCTTGGGAAAATAGAGGCACAAAACCAGTGATGTCAGCTCTTCTAATTTAACTGAGAGTCTTCAGCTATTTGGCGCTTTTCTTGCAGCCCCAGCTGCTGGAGTCACGTGAATACATCAGAATCTCAGCTTCCTGGTTGTTTGGGTTTTTTTTTAAGTACATTACTAGCCCTCATGGTTATGAAAAAAGCTTCAAGTTGTGAACATCAACGTCTCAGAATCCCGAGGACTTACAGAAATCCCACAACATTTATTCTTTTCTTTAGCAATCTCATCATTTCTAAACCAATCTAATGGATTTTTTTTTCTTTTTGCAGCAAGGCGGGGTGGAGAGATGACTCATAATTTTCAAACACTTGTCATTGGCAATACTGAAGTGCAGGCAAATGACTTGAACAAGGGCACGCAATGGAAGAACCGGGAAACGAACCCAGGTGTCATGACTCCCGGTCCCTGATCTGATGATTATACAAACACTCCTCTTTCAAAGCGAGCTCTAGAATGCAGGATCCCTGACAGTCTATCCCAGGGGTAGTCAATTGTTTTTTGTTTTTTTTGGTCAAATTCCAAATTTCTTGGTCAAGGTATAGCCAAGGTCCAGACTCCAGTGAAAATAATAAAAAAGTCAACAATAATAATTATAATAATAAGCAAATAAAAAGATTGTGGGGTCTGGAGTGGTCAAAAGGGCCTGGAGGTCCAGATTTGGCCCCCAGTCTGCCTTGTTCTAGCCACTATTACAGTGCATATGCACCAGAGAGAGCGCACACAAACACATTTATAGCGAAGTCATTTTTTTTTTCCACCAAGCAACTCCACTCCACACGGGAGCTTCCCAATCAGCACATTGCAATGTAGTGAAACAATCTGGGACTTTATTCGACACATGGCTCTATAAAGGGAATTTTGCTGGGAGTTGACAGCAGGTGGGTTCTGCTGTAGCACCACCGCCTGCCACCTCCCAGAGGATTACGGCCCGCTAACATTTTCCCTCGGGGATTAAGCCGTGCCGTGTGAACGACAACGGAGTCCAGCCCGCGTAGTCCCGGAAGGACTGAGGTTCCAATCACCCCAGAAGCAGCTGCAATGGGTGATACACATCAAGAGGTGGTTTTTAGGGTCTTTTGGGGAACAGAGCCAGGGGCTGGGTGCGATGGGCTGGCACCAAATTGGGCTGAGATTGAAGCAATGTGTCCCATAATAATATCTATCGCAGAGAAACGACCCACATCCCACGCTTGCACCTGGGACCACCCAGGCTGGCATTGAGGACCGAATGGGAGAGATGTCATAGGTTTTACTCTTTGAGTATATCTCGGGAGGGTAGTGCCAGCCAAATGTGGCTATAGATCAGGGTTAAAAAAAACCAACAGCACCCTTTTGGTTTCTTTATGCGACGCAGGGTCCCTTTACATTTCTCTCAACACAATCCTTTTCCCTTTTAGTGACAACAGCAGCGCTGCCAGTGGATTCCACTGCTCAGATTCCTCACTGGAGTATCTTGGAAAACACCGCCCGGTAAATACCTGGACCCACAGGGTAGATCTGTGCTGGGCCCAGAAATGGCTAAAGGCCAGAGCTCTGCATGTACCTTTCTCTTCCCCTCTGTAACCTGTCCTTGTTTGTAAACATTCCCCTCCCTGCCCCCTTCCCTGAGCTCTTTGAAATGAAAGAATCTGAAGTATTTTTGGATGCCAAAGTGAAACAGTAGAATGGCGTTTTGCTGTTTCCTACTGCACAGAGAGGCCCCAAATCAATAGGGCAGTGGGGAGGGGGGGCGGGTTGCATCAGGTCCAAAGCCTTCAAGTGTGAGAACCACAACTGGGAAGGAGAAAACCCGTGGGGGGGGGGGGGGATTTCTCACTTGCACATTCCATAAAAAATGTTTCGAGCTATTTCCCAGGCAGGGAGGGGGCAAAGCTTTGTCTCGGCAATAAAAGTAAAAGCAAACTTGATGGGGCGCTTTTTGTGTGTGGCTTTTTGTGTGTGGCTTGCGAAAGCCTTGCCCCTGGCTCCCATTGGCACGTTCCAGCCCCTGCTTTCAACACACCCCAGCGCACACAACGACACACACCGTGGTAACGATGCCACACCCACGATGGGCAGAAAAAAGGGGAACTTTAAAAAGCCGGATGGACTTTTTGTTAAGCCTCTGGTGTCTGAAATATGATGAACACCCGCCCCACCCCATTGCTTTTACAACCATCCGCCCAGTGGTTCTTTCAGGCGGACATCAGTGCAAGGCGAAATATTACTAGCAGATGAAAGATTCATTTGCAACCAAGGGTGGTACAACAAGACCCATTTTAAACACACACACACACACACACACACACACACACACACACACACACACACACACACACACACACACACACACTTACTTTTTCCTGGCATTTTCTGGGGAGTAGCAGCTAAAAGATAGTCTCAGAACCCCAGCAGGTGTATGAGAATTAGCCAGCACCACACTCAGGCAACAGGTTTCAAACTACAGTGAAACTGACCCAATTCCAGCGAGTACCAGGCAGGGGCAATCCACTTATCTACAGAGAATAATCAAGCCGCGTCACTTACCTTCTTCCTGAAGCGCTCCCGACTCCCATCCAAGGGTTGGGGCGAGGGGGCTGCAGACTGGACGTTTAACCCTTTGGCTCTGGGGTTTGTTTTGAGAAAGAAATATGCTCCTTAAGAAATAGGGGGAGGGCAGAGATTAGATAGAGGGGGTGTATGGGGATAGATAGATCTAGAAAAGGGGGGATGGAGGGATAGAAAGAAACAGGAGATGGATATAATATTTTGGGAGGGAAATCCACTGAGTAGCTGGTAACGCCAGATGTTTTGTTGGGGATCGAACAGCTGGGTTCCTCTTCCAAGGCAGAAAACTCGCTTTTCCGGATGCCCCCAGTCCAGTCCTGGTGATCCCGGGGAGGTTGCAAGCCCCTCACCCCGCGTCTGCTCTGACCCACCTCCCCGTGCAATGCGGGCAGAGGGGTCCAGCGGCCGCTCCGGACTTGGCTGTAACTTTCTTGCTGCCGGCGGCCCCCCTTCGCCCCCCCGCCCCCAAGCCGCCGCGGGTGGGTGCACCGGGGCCGGGTCACCCCGCCGATCGCTGCCCCGGCTCCTTGTGGTCCTCGCTCCGCCGCTGCCTGGCTGCCGGAGCGGTCCGGGGGCTGGTCAGTTCCAGCCGGTCCCCGGGTGCAGCCCCCCGGGCGCGGATCGCAGCAGCAACCGCCCGGCCAGCCCTGCCCCTTCTCCGCCTCCTTCCACATGCATCCCCGGCCGCCCCGCCTCCCCAGCCCGCTTCCCCTCGCAGCCCGCGGCCACGCTCCCCTCCCCCGCGCCCGGGGGCTTGCTCCCGGCCTCCCACCTCCTTGCACGAAGTTACTGCCGGCGAGAGGTTCCCAGCGCCCGGCCTGAAACAGGACCGAAGAGAAAACCGAGCCGAGCCGAGCCAAAAGACCCCCTTCCCCCCATCTGCTACTGCTCTGTAGCCCTGCTCCCCCCCCCCCCAATTGCCAACTGTGATTCATACATTCCGCCTAACAACCCTCTGACCCCTACACCCCAGGGGCTGGAAATTCAAAGGCAATCCCAATCCCCTCCCCCCAGGTGGGGTGATTATCCTGCCCCCCCTTGACGTTATAGGGGGAAACTGAGGCATGGAGAAGGGAAGGGACTTTTGCCCAGGATGACCACATAGCAAGTGTGAAAAACAGGACATTTTTTTTTCTCATGGGAGGGGTTTTTTTTTTTATTCATAGATTCTAGGACTGGAAGGGACCTCGAGAGGTCATTGAGTCCAGTCCCCTGCCCGCATGGCAGGACCAAATACCC